CTTTTTAACGGTTTTTCGAAGCCTTTTTCATTTTGGAAACACCGATGCACGCAGTTTCTTCACCTCAGTCGCACTAGTTTCGATCTTGTCTTCCATTTTTCATCATAAGCTGGATTACCCAAAATTATCGTGAACTGTGCCTTTAAGGAGAGCCTTGTGGACCTCGTGATAGCACGAGTTTGCAGATTGACACTTAGCAGAAGATGAAGTAAAGTTGTTATCAGTCGCCCTACTCAGGGGAGGTTAGTTTTGAAGAGATTGTTGTAGGAAGATCTGAATTAACAGAGCCCTCTGTATAATTATTTGGTCTAGGCTGCTAATTCAAAATTGTGATGCATCTGGGAAAGGGCTGCATTGTTTCTTTACGCGGAAGTGACTTGAAGGCACAGTCCACGTTAAAAATGGTTTTCGAGGTATCTCCCCTGGATGAAGCTGTGACCCTAAGAGACAGCATAAGGGATGCTGTCGGGTCGAAAAACGGCCAAGATAAGGCGTTTTATCACGCGTTTTTCGGCGTGTACGTCGGCTGAGCCGGCCTCGAAACCGGCTCAGCCGACGTACACGCCGAAAACGGACGAGTTCTTAAGCTGTAGTCGTTGTTCGCACCGGGACCCGCACCTTGCATGCAGATAGCTTACTGCAACCACCTGTATGCAATGGTGTGCGTATTTTACATCTCGTCCAGTACCTCTTCTATGCAACTTCTGCAACTTCTCGTTCAACTCCTACTTTTACGTTTTTTTCAAAGTCTTATTTTTCTCAAAACACGCCAACTTTTGCTTTTTCGCATATTCTGGACTATCACTTCCATAATTCCTTTCAGACTAAATACCCCAAAAATTATCGTGAACTGTGTCTTTTATACTATTATAGTAAAAGGCGCTGTTACTTTGTCAATAGTTCATGGATTGAATTTTTTGTTTAATTCAGTTAGACATTGATCCAATGTTAGGCTACTTTGAAGGCACAGTTCACGATAAAAATGGTTTCTGGGATTTCCCCATAGGATGAATTTTAGGCCCCCTCTTATGCCATATTTGGCGCTACCATGTCGGAAAACGGTCTAGTTAGGGCGTTATAAAGGCTCAGAGATCGTCTCGTGTATCCTCGCACGAGTTTTACAGGCATTGTAGAGGCTGCACAGATCACAAAGGATCCCGTGTAGGAAGTTCGAACAACATGTCATGACCCATAGCGGTAGTGAAAGGCAGTTCTGCACAGTTCTGGCTTGATGTAGCCAGCTCTTTGCGCAAATGCAACAACCGAAATCTCGTCCGATAACCCCTTCCATATTATTTCCGCCATTGTTATCTCGTCCAACTTCTACTTCCCCTACCTTTGAAGAGCCGTATTCTTCTCAAAATCGGCGAATTTTCTCGCTTTCTTCACAACCAATTAACTATTCCCAACCTATACTTCCGCTTTTCGACTAAAAAGGGGTACCTCAAAA